TAGTTCTTCTATTGTCTGTTTAAGTGCATAAATTTAGTATTACTTTCAGATTCGTTATTGGTGATGTCCGCTGTATTCCCTTTAAGACACCAGTTACTTCATCGTAGAAGCAAATGTTCCTCCTCAAAACCAGATCTGTCTGTGCCTTGTTCCTTAGGGTTGCGTGGTGACCATCAGGTCGACGTCTGCCGTGTTTAGGCTTCCGTCTGAGAAGTTCATGGGCTTTGCTATTGGTTTATGCTCAACCATTCTGTAACGGTATCACACATCTACTGAGGCTATCTGTGCCTGAAAGAGAACAAAATTCCTTATGTTGTGCGTTCGTATATCTCGCATGCATAACACCTCTGTACGCAGTTCAACCGTCGTTCTTGTTCCTTCGTTAAAACGACTGGTTCCATGCCATATGACAATGATAGCCTGACTGAGTTGAAGTGCAGGTGGAAAAAGTTGACCTTTCTCAGCCTATATATTGTACAAGTTTCCAAAGCATTTGAGGCTAGGGCGATCGTCCTATTTAACTCCGATTGGACGCTTCAGTCGCTGGATAAGATGGAGTTGAGATACTTCGTTACTTCGCTGTTCCACTTGTAGACCTTCTGTGCCCGGTTGGTCATAATTTTTGATTTGCGAGCTTTAAGCAGCAGGCCGGCTTTCGCAGCTGTGTTACATACGGGATCCTTCAGGTGATGGAGCCTGGCCAGGATTGTCCTACTCACCAGTGCAATATCATTTGCCGTGATATCTAGCTGCATATGAACTCTGCTGCTCTTGAACTGAGCCTTCTCTTTAGAATGAGACCGTTGTTTTCGCCTGATTCAGCACCGTTTCAGAGAAGTAGGACGATGACAATTTATGTAACAGGTTAAATTCACAGAAAGGAGTCTTATGATCAGTTATGTTCAAGACACGTTTTTATAAAAATTAATTTTCTGTCAGAACGCTATAATTTGTCATGTAATTTCACAGTAAAGTCAGCATGCTTCTGTTTTAAAGGTAAATTATTTTTCTTTCAGTCGTAGCTATTAAAACAAGCCAAATGATCACCGAAAGGCCATCTGCATTCCTTTCCATTTGGGAAATTTTCATAGAACACTGAAATTTTTACCCTGGTCACGAATCCCTCCCTTTGTTGGTTTTTTTGAAAGTGACATTGACGATATTTCCAGAACCTATTTTAAAAGAGATGAATGAATGAACTTCGGCTTCCTTAATACCCCTCCCCCCACGAGATACTCGTTCAACTTTTGAAACAGAATGATTGTTGTATTTTATTTCGTGACCATTATAATTAACTCTGTGATGAGTTTAGTTATAAATCTAAGGTTTGTTGTAAAACTTCTAACAAAGTGAAAGATGCCTTTAATTTAGATGACCATGCAAATAGCAGCAGAGATTACAAAGTAATAAACGTAGTTTTGAAACTTTGGCATTAAAAATTTATGAAAAACGGTGTAACAGCGGTGACAACAGCAGTTGACTGATCTTTCTTCGTGATTAACGTGGATTATCATTGCTTAGTCTCGACGCCAATTCTCTTCTGTCCTTCTTATCGCCATGGTCTTCCAGTTGAGAGCACTTGCAGTTTCTTACGTACTAGTCCATCATGTCTGAAGTGTACCCTCCATCCGTCAGTCGCGCGATGTTAGTCGTAGTTTAACTGGAGCTGCGCGCATGGGGCCGAAGGCCATTTTTGCTGTGCTTTCCATTTCATTCGGTTTTAGCTAATATCTTA